ATGGGTTCTCTGGCAGCCTGGGCTGCTGGTTGGCGACCTGCACATAGCAGGGGGTTGGAACTGATGAGCACTGTGCTCCTTTGCAACCCAGGCCATTCTATGACTGTGATTCTATGAAACACAGAGAATCACGACTCTGAGGTCAGTCAGGATTTATCCCTACCCCAAACATGCATTCACTTACAATTCAGAAGGATCATCTTTTGTTAACATTCATGCATATCCAACATCAGCAAAGGAAAAGGCTGAGAGCAACCAGGCTGTCCATCATGCAAAGGGAGCTGGAGAGCATAATCTGTTATGAAATGAATGAGGAAATGCTTGCCATAATGGAGAAAAAAGCGTCGAGCAAAAGCATTCTGGGTTGTGTCTTCAAACTGGGCTTCAAACTGGGCTGTGTTGTGTTCTGGGGTGTGGACCTATTCTGAACATTCCTTGGGGATGGCAGCCTGTGGCACTGCTGGCTGATGTGCTCATCTGGTTTAGGTCCTCAGAGGTGAATGAGAACAACAGCTCACAGAGGAATTCGCTGGAAGAAGGAATGAAGCCTGAGCAGAGAACCAACTCCATGTCTGGGTAAGGGGATGAGCAGTGTGCTGTGCCCTGAAACACCAGGTGGTGGAGCACGGGGCTCCTGCTTTTTAACAAATACAGAGTGTAGAAGGAAGGATTTTGTGGAGAAGGTGAAACTATAATTGGGGAGAAAAAAAAAAAGAAACAAACCTTTTTAGCATCAGCTTAACTCCGTGTTCGTGTTATTCTTCTATCCTTCAAAATGATGTCCTTGGAGCTGGGGGTGGTGCAGAAGAGTGTCTGGGGGTGTTGGTCATCACCTTCCCATCACGCTGAGAAGAGCAGGCAGTACTGAAGCGGATGAGGGCTGCCCGTTTCTCACTGCTTCTCTCTGCCCAGGTTGAGTCCATTGGGTCCCGCAGCAGGGGATGCATCGGCCCCGGTGCGGACAGCCAAGGCGGAGCGCAGGCACCAGGAGAGGTTGCGAATGCAGAGTCCTGAGCTCCTGAGCAGCCAAGAGAAGGAACTTTCTCCAGCAGAACGTCGTGCTCTGGAGGCAGAGAAGCGAGCGATGTGGAGGGCAGCACGGTGAGACAGAAGGAGCTTCATTGTTTTCTTTGCTAGGCCAGTTGAAGGAAGAATCCGGGCCGTTCAGATGGGGAATGGAAAAGCTTCCCTGCGCCACGTGTTTGCAGAGGTTGTAGTTGCACCTTTCTTCCATTCAAACAGTGCAGAGCATCCACTGCTTGGCTGAGCTCATCTGCTTCTCACCAGCCGTGTGAGTGAGAAGTCCTGTATTGCATTTGGCAGCAGGGACAGGGAGGTGATCGTCCCTCTCTGCTCTGCTCTCGTGAGGCCCCGTCTGCAGCACTGCGTCCAGGGCTGGAGCCCCCAGGACAAGAAGGACAGGGAGCTGTTGGAGAGGGGCCAGAGGAGGGCACTGAGATGCTCAGAGGGCTGGAGCAGCTCTGCTATGAGGAAAGGCTGAGGGAACTGGGCTCGTTTAGCTTGGAGAAGAGAAGGCTGCAGGGAGACCTGATGGTGGCCTCCAGTGCTTGGAGGGAGCGGATAAACAGGAGGGGAACGGCTGTGTGTGAGGGTGGTGGTGATGGGACGAGGGGAATGGCTTTAAACTGAGCCAGGGGAGGTTTGGGTTGGATATGAGGAGGAAGTTTTTCATGCAGAGGTGGTGAGGCACTGGAACAGGTTGCCCAAGGAGGCTGTGGATGCCCCATCCCTGCAGGCATTCAAGGCCAGGCTGGATGTGGCTCTGGGCAGCCTGGGCTGCTGGCTGGCGACCTGCACACAGCAGGGGGTTGGGACTGATGAGCACTGTGCTCCTTTGCAACCCAGGCCATTCTGTGACTATACAGTGATTCTATGATTATGGGTCCTTATGGCACCCTATGGATCCTTATGTCACCCTCTGGATCACTGTGACATCCTATTTATCCTTATGGCACTCTGTGGATCCTTATGGCATCCTGTGGATCACCGTGGCTCATTATGGATCCTTATGTCACCCTATGGATTCCTATGGCACCCTGTGGACCCTGTGGATTATGGCACACAATGAATGCTTATGATACCCTATGGATCCTTATGGCACCCTGTGGATCACTGTGGCTCACTGTGGATCCTTATGGCACCCTGTGGGTTCTCTGTGCAGCCTGGTCTGCTGGCTGGCAACCCTGCACACAGCAGGGGGTTGGAACTGATGAGCATTTTGCTCCTTTGCAACCCAGGCCATTCTATGATTCTGTGATTCTATGATGATTCTCTCCTAAGCCTGAACATTAGCATGGCCAAGGAATGCCATAACAAAGCCCTTTTTTATGACAGATACAAATGGAGAAGTATGGCAGTGTGTGTGCAAACCTCTGAAAGCAGAGCCATTGCAAGGACTCTGCTCATCGCACAGAATGCATGCCTGCTGCTCAGGAGTGCGTCCTTATCTGAGCGTGCTGATGCCAGCAGATCAAGAAATCTGAAAAGTGCTATTATGCTATAGAAAAGTTTGTGAGTGTGGAATATAGAGTGTTGAATAGAGTGCATTTGTCCACTGTGGGCAGAATGGAGATCACTGTATTCTCGATCTTCAGTCTCTTGCCTTTTAAGCATGGTGGGAGGGAAGGGGGGGTGTTTGCAGAAGTGAGCTGGAGAAGGAAAAGCCTTTCAGAGCTGAGGAAGATGTGCTGAGGAGCCCTTTGCGGCCGCCTTGCTTTTCATCTTTTCACTTGTCAGATTCAGCGTTGGGTTTCTGATTTCTGCAGAGCAGCTTCTCAGCTTCGTTCTGCTTCTGGTAGCAAGGTGTATTTTTAATTTCAGCTCCCAAAGAAGCATCTGCTGTTCCTTGGGTGGTGTTAAGGCCTGACTTATGGGCATGGATCAGGGATCAGACACCACAGTGAGCTCCTCCAGTCCAAGGACGGGCTGTCCCTACCCCCATAGACCTCACAAATGTGGTGATCCCAGGACCCATCTCCTGTCTCTGCTGCAGCATGGTGACGTGGTGGCAGCCAGGACTCCACGTCTTGTTTCCCCACGCAGCCCCACACACGTGCCGAGTGGGGAGGATTGCCTTGCAGGCAGTGCTGCAGCCTCACTAACCTGTATTTGCTTTTTAAGTGCATGATTTTATTACTTTCTTTCTAATCTTCTATCTTCTGCTTCTTTCCAGTTCTCTGGTCTGTGTGCTGTCAGTTGTGACCCCATCAACTCACACCACCTTGGGCTTTCCCTTTTCTCCCCGTGTCATCGGTGCCCTGCCAGGACATTCGATGCCCCCCACCACCACACACCCACTCCCCTTCCTCTGCTGGGAGAGACACATGGGGACCCATCCTATATAGGTGCCCTCGCACACACACATGCTGGGAGGATTGGCTGACACACCCGAAGGCTGTGCTGCCATTCAGAGGGACCTGGACAGGCTGGAGAGCTGGGCAGTAAGAAACCAGATGAGGTTTAACACAAGCAAGTGTAGAGTCCTGCATCTGGGGAGGAATAATTGCACGCAGTGATACAGGTTGGGGGATGAGCTGCTGGAGAGGAGCTCTGCAGAGGGGGACCTGGGTGTCCTGGTGGGTGACAGGTCAGCCATGAGCCAGCAGTGTGTGGCCAGAAGGCCGATGGCATCCTAGGGTGCATGAAAAAGAGCATGGCCAGGAGTGGAGGGAGGTGATCCTCCCCCTGTACTCTGCCTCATCTGGAGTGCTGTGTCCAGTTCTGGGCTCCCCGGTACAAAAAAAAGACAGGGATCTCTTGGAAAGAGTCCAGCGGAGGGCCACAAAGATGGGGAAGGGCCTGGAGTGTCTCCCCTATGGAGAAAGGCTGAGTGAGCTGGGTCTGTGTAGCCTTGAGAAGAGAAGGCTGAGAGGGGACCTGACCCAGGTCTGTAAATATCTGAGGTGTGGAAACAGGACGAGGGGAAACGGCCAGGAACTGCAGCATAGGAAGTTCTGCACCAATGTGTGCAAGGACTTGTTCAGGTGAGGTGACGGAGCACTGGAACAGGCTGCCCAGGGGGTGGTGGAGTCTCCTTCTCTGCAGATGTTCCAGACCCACCTGGACACCGAGTTGTGCGACCTGGTGTAGGGAAGCTGCTTTGGCAGGGGGTTGGACTCGATGATCTCTGGATCCCTTCCAACCCCTACGATGCTGTGATGCTGTGATTCTGACATTCGTGCCCCAGGAAGGCTGTGAGTGAGGGGGTAAAGGCACGTGTTGAAGAGGAGCAGCAGCCCAGCGAGGCCCGCGTGCATCCTGGTGGTGTTTCCAATGCACTTCTTTGTGGATGCGCTCAGCTCTGAGCCGGGGTCTGTGCCCAACACAGCCTGCACGATGTACTTGTTCGTTTGGCCTGGCCTCACTTTGCCCACTATACGTGGGCTCCACGGTATTAGAAGGATATAAAAATGTGAGAACGTGCCCAGAGGAGGGCAACAGAGTTGGTTAAAGGAGCAGAGAGGGGAAATATTGGAGCGCATCCAGAGGAGGGACATGAATATGATCGAAGGGCTGGAGCACAGCCCTGTGAAGAAAGGTTGAGGGAGCTGGGCTTGTTTAGCTTGGAGGAGAGGAGAGGAGAGGAGAGGAGAGGAGAGGAGAGGAGAGGAGAGGAGAGGAGAGGAGAGGAGAGAGTGGAGAGGAGTGAAAAGAGAGGAGAGAAAAGAGAGGAGAGAAAAGGGAAGGGAAGGGAAGGGAAGGGAAGGGAAGGGAAGGGAAGGGAAGGGAAGGGAAGGGAAGGCTCCAGAGAAACCTCATTGCAGCCTTCCAATATTTGAAGGGATCTTACAAGCAGAAGGGGGACCAACTTTTTACACCGTCTGATAGCGACAAGATAAGGGGAAATGGCCTTAACCTGAAAGATGGGAAATGTAGTTGAGATGTTAGGAAGAAATCTTTTACTCGGAGGGTGGTGAGGTACTGGAATGGGATGCTCAGAGGAGTTATGGATGCCCCATCCCTGGGGGCATTCAGTGCCAGGTGGGATGTGGCCTTGTGCAGCTTGATGTAGTGATTGACAACCCTCCCCAGGGCCTGGGGTTGGAATTTGGTAATCTTTAAGGTCCCCTCCAACCTAAGCCGTCCTGTGATCCTGTGATACGTATGAGGAGCAGCCTCGGTTTGTTCAGCTTAGAGGAGACAGAGGGGAGGCTCGTGGCAGCCTGCAGCTCATTGTGGCAGCCTGCAGCCAACTTAGCATCTCTGCCCAAAGGGCCCGAAGGAACAGCACGGAGCTGTGCCAGGGGAGGGTCGGGCTGGGGATGAGGGAGAGGTTCTGCACCAGAATGTGATGGGCTTGGAACAGGCTCCCCAGGGTGCTGGTCGTGGTTCCAGGGCCGTCAGTAGTGCTGAAGAAGCACTTGGACGATGCTCTTAGAGATGTGCTTTAACGCTCACTTTGCCCTTTGTGGAGTCAGGAGCTGGACTCAGTGCTTGCCACGGGTTCCTTCCAGCTCAGTGATCCCATTTTACAGTGGTCAAACAAAGGTGCGTGCTAACAGGTGGACGGATATGTATGAGCGTGCAGTGCACGTGGAGGTGATGTGTGTGCACACACACGTGCTCACGCCCTGCACTCCATCAGTCTGCCTTACACACGCGCACCTCTTTGCAGCCACTGCTCAGCCTTTTGCATTGGTCTGCTGGTGTCTCCGGTCCTCCCAGCACGTAAGGAGGGCAGTCTCCAAAGATGTAGGCTGTGAAATGAGCGCTTTGGGGCACATCATCCCAGGTTGCCCTCTGGAGGTTTCCGTTTCTTCTGCAGCAGTTGGTGCTGGGAAGGACGAGGTGTAGCAGCCTGTCGTAATCGTGGCTGCTCCCTTTTCAGACACACATTTCTCCTTGCCAGGGTATGTTCCTGTATCTGTTTCTTTCTCTCCCTGTATTTGTCCACTGTAATGTTCATTACCATCATCTCCTCTTCCTTCTCCTTTTCCTCTTCCTCTCTTCCTCCTCCTCCTCCTCCTCCTCCTCAGATCCTCAACTCTTGAAGACAGTATTAAACAGTACGAGCAGGATCTGGCCAGGAAGCTGTACCAGTCCCGGCAATGGGCTCCTGCTCCCGGGGCCAGGCCAGCTCAGATGCCTAGTCCAGTGCAGAGTCACGTCTCGAGAACCCCTGGGTCAGGAAACCAATCCAGGTGTGCACAGCCCCATCCCTGCCAGCTGCATGCTCCGTCCTGTCTGCGTCCCCCATCCTAACACCGTGCTCCCAGCCGTGTCCTTGTAGGGCTAGGGAGGACTCAGTGGTGCTGGACTCCGTTTCCCTGAGGTACCACAGGCTGTTGGCAGTCAGCGGGGATGATGGGTGGACACTGGGTCTGGCTGGTTGGGTGGGAGCTGACGTTTCTGAGGGCTGACCCCCTTTTGTCAGAGGTGATTTATAACGTCCCAGTGGCAGCAGAGGGATAAAGCGTGGCCCTGAAATCTCACTTAGTCACTGAGCCCTGGCAGTTCCCCTCCACGTTCCTCACTTTGGATTGCTCTCTGTCATACGTGGCACCTCTGGGAAGGCCTGCAGCATCTCAGTGCGTTGATGCTGAGCTCCAGGCTCTGTTCTGCACACGTGAAGCTGTGCATTTCGGGACAGTAACGTCTGATGGCAGCAAACCGAGCTGTTCTCTCCTGCTCTGAAAGTCTGTCTGCTGTGGGGAACCAAGGGTTCATCTGGCCTTTCTGCACTCAGCTTGTTGAGTGTGCTCCAGCCACTGGGCACAGAAGAGGACATTAAGCTCGTATACAGAAAGCGATGTCTGATGTCTTTTTCTCCCCCCTCCCCTCCTCCTTTCTGAGACAGGATGAAATCCCTTGAGCAGGATGCTCTTAAAGCCCAAATGGTCATTGCCAAGTCCAAGGAGGGAAAGAAGCGCAGCACTCTGGAGCAGGTGACAGAGTCACCTTCGCCCGTCCCTACCCCGTCACCAACACCACTGGAAGGTACCGTACAGCCCTTTGGGGGGGAAAAAGCTCATGCTTCTGCAGGTTAGCTTGCTTGAAAGCAGATTCGCAGGGTGCAGTTTCTTCATTCAGTTTCTCTCCTTGACTGCAGCCCTGTGCAGAAGGACTTGGGGGTCCTGGTGGATGAGAAGCTGGACATGAGCCAGCAGTGTGAGCTTGCAGCCTGGAAGTCCAACTGTGTGCTGGGCTGCATGAAAAAAGGGGTGGCCAGCGGGGACAGGGAGGTGATCGTCCCTCTCTGCTCTGCTCTCGTGAGGCCCCGTCTGCAGCACTGCGTCCAGGGCTGGAGCCCCCAGCCCAGGAAGGCCAGGGAGCTGTTGGAGAGGGGCCAGAGGAGGGCACTGAGATGCTCAGAGGGCTGGAGCAGCTCTGCTATGAGGAAAGGCTGAGGAACTGGGCTCGTTTAGCTTGGAGAAGAGAAGGCTGCAGGGAGACCTGATGGTGGCCTCCAGTGCTTGGAGGGAGCGGATAAACAGGAGGGGAACGGCTGTGTGTGAGGGTGGTGGTGATGGGACGAGGGGAATGGCTTTAAAGTGAGCCAGGGGAGGTTTGGGTTGGCTGTGAGGAGGAAGTTTTTCATCCAGAGGTGGTGAGGCACTGGAACAGGTTGCCCAAGGAGGCTGTGGATGCCCCATCCCTGCAGGCATTCAAGGCCAGGCTGGATGTGGCTCTGGGCAGCCTGGGCTGCTGGTTGGTGACCTGCACATAGCAGGGGGTTGGAACCAGGTTGAGCATTGTGCTCCTTTGCAACCCAGGCCATTCTGTGACTATACAGTGATTCTATGATTATGGGTCCTTATGACACCCTATGGGTCCTTATGGCACCCTATGGATCCCTATGGCACCCTATTGGTCCCTGTAGCACCCTGTGGATTCTTTTGGCCCCCTACGGATCACTGTGGCTCACTATGGATCCTTATGGCACCCTGTGGGTTCTCTGGCAGCCTGGTCTGCTGGTTGGCGACCTGCACACAGCAGGGGGTTGGAACTGATGAGCACTGTGCTCCTTTGCAACCCAGGCCACTCTAGGGTTCTGTGATTCTGTGATCCATTCAGCTGAGGCTGGAAGGACCTATTTGAGCGCACGGCACTTCTCAGCACAGGAGATTCTCCTGACACATAGAGAGCAAAACATTGAAGTGATGGTTCTGGGAAACAAGAGCAGAGTAGAAAAGACAGGAAAGAAGCATTTATTTGGAAAGTCTGTTGTGAGCGTGGTCTTCTATCACACTGAAATCAGTGCTGAATGAAGGGACAGGCATGTGTGTGTGTTGTGTGTAATGCAGACGTGCAGTGGACAATGCTTTTATGTCATCTTTTGCAGATTGCAGTCCCAGGAACGTCACCTCACCAGGAAGGCTGGTATGACACATTCTGCTTGCTTCTGTTCTCTTTGTAATCCTGGGGTTTCTCAGTTCCTCACTTTGGGTGTGGATCGTGCATCTGGGCCATGAAGTCCCTATTTCAGTACTTAACCTGAGAGTTAAGTGAAGAGGCACTGTGGATGGAGCTTCTCCATGCCCATTGCTAGAGACACCCCCTTTTCTCCAAATATACAGCAATATCTGTTCTCCATTTCTCCGTTTTATTCTTTTCCCAGTAGTACCAAACCAAAATCTTAAGCTGAAATCAGCATCTTGCTTTTCCTAAGGGCTGCATAAATGCAGCGGGACATCGTTGCAGAGAACTGTCAAAATTGGTACAGCAGAATGGTGGGACCTGGTTCTGCCCGAGGTCACACACTGCAGCCAGCTCTGAGTGAGGTGTCAGCTGTGCTGGAGCTGTCAGGAATCTTGTTCTTCCCTAAGCTGGTTTGGATGTGCAGCTCACTGGAGCACATCGTGTTTTCTCTGCAACTTGGAGCGCCTCCCCTGGCAGCAGGACAGACAAAACACCGCGTCCCAACGTCCCTGAGATGCCTTCTTTCCCAGAGGCTGGATCCAGACACCATAGGCATTAACTGTGAATGATGCTTTGCTGCTAACCCTCCTTAGGCCACTCAGGGTGCTGCTGTGTGTCCATCCATTCCTCTCTCCTCACTCTCTCTTTTCTCTTTCTTCTCATTTACTGTCCCTTCTAGTCCATGTCTGAAAAGAAGTTTGACTACCGGGAATTTGCTGCTATTCCTTCCTCCAAACCTGTTTACGAAATCCAGGTATTCACTGCATGCTGAATTTCTGCCTGCTGTTGGACTGGTCAGGGCTTGGTTTAGTGGAAGTGCTGCATGTGATGTGGTGACCCTCAGAACAGAGGCTGAATGGCGTGAGGAGGACCTCTTCAAGATCCCCCTCGTGTATGGGGCGATGACGATGAGCAGAGGGCTGGAGCTGCTCTGCTATGAGGAAAGGCTGAGGGAACTGGGCTCGTTTAGCCTGGAGAAGAGAAGGCTGCAGGGAGACCTGATGGTGGCCTCCAGTGCTTGGAGGGAGCGGATAAACAGGAGGGGAACGGCTGTGTGTGAGGGTGGTGGTGATGGGACGAGGGGAATGGCTTTAAAGTGAGCCAGGGGAGGTTTGGGTTGGATGTGAGGAGGAAGTTTTTCACCCAGAGGTGGTGAGGCACTGGAACAGGTTGCCCAAGGAGGCTGTGGATGCCCCATCCCTGCAGGCATCCAAGGCCAGGCTGGATGTGGCTCTGGGCAGCCTGGGCTGCTGGTTGGCGACCTGCACACAGCAGGGGGTTGGAACTGATGAGCACTGTGCTCCTTTGCAGCCCAGGGCATTCTATGATTCTATGACTTTTAAGAATCATTTCAACCCAATGCATTCTACCATTCCGTGGCTCTATCACCTTCCAAGACACTCCCAATCCATTCTATGCTTCTATGACCTTTGAGGACCCTTCAAACCCAACCATTTGGTAGTTCTGTCATCTGTAAGGACCCTTCCAACCCAACCCAACCATCCCATGGTTCTATGATCTTCAAAGACCTTTCCAACCCAACCCAACCATTCCATGGTTCTATGATCTTCAAGGACCTTTCCAACCCAACCCAACCATCCCATGGCTTTGTGATCTTCAAGGACCTTTCCAACCCAACCCAACCATCCCATGGTTCTATGATCTTCAAGGACCCTTCCAACCCAATCCAACCCAACCTAGTGGTTGGTGACCCTGCACACAGCAGGGGGTTGGAACTCAGTGATCATTGTGGTCCTTTTCACCCCAGGCCATTCTAGAATTCTGTGGCAACAAGTAAGGTTTTATTTAAATATGTCAGCAGTAAAAGGAAGAGTAGGGAAAACGTGAGTCCCCTACTAAATGAGGTGGGTGCCTTGGTAACAGGGGATGCTGAGTAGACAGAGGTTCTGAATGTCTACTTTGCTTCAGTCTGTAATGGTAGGTCTGGCCCTTAGGAATCCCAGACCCTGGAGGTAAGAGGAAGAGTCGTGGAAAGGAAGGCTTTCCGTTGGTTGAGGTGGATCTGGTCAGAGAGCGCCTAGCCAAAATCAACGCACACACATCCATGGGCCCCAATGGGATGCAGCCACGGGAGCTGAGAGAAGCGGCAGAGATGATTGCTGAACTGCTCTCTGTCATCTTTGAAAGGTCCTGGCAAATGGGGGGGGTGCCTGAAGACTGGAAGATGGCCAATGTCACTCAGAATGTCACAGCAGAAAGGGCAAGAAGGAGGAGCCAGGAAACCACGAGCCCCTCAGCCTCACCTCTGTCCTTGTGGAGGCGATGGAACAATTTGTTCTGGATGCCATCCCCAAGCATCTGGAAAGGAGAAGGTTATCAGGTGTAGTCAGTATGGATTTCCCAAGGGAAAATCGTGCTTGACCAACCCATCAGTGTCTGGGTAGGTGGGAGGAGAGCAGTGGATGTTGTGTACCTTGACTTCAGCAAGGCTTTCGACTCCGTCTCCCACAGCATCCTGGTTATGAAACTTAGAAAGCGCAGGATAGATGAGCGGATGGTGAGGTGGATGGAGAACTGGCTGAGCTCAGAGGGCAGTCATCAGGAGTTTGGTTGCCCATAACCAGCAGTGGTTGGTTGCCCGTAACCAGCAGTGATCCCCAGGGTTCGCTGCTGGGGCCACTCTTGTTCAACATCTCCATCAACATCTGGATGAAGGGATGGAGTCAACCCTCAGTAATTCTGCTGATGATACGAAGCTGGGAGCAGTGGCTGACTCAGCTGAAGGCTGTGCTACCATTCGACTAGACCTGGGCAGACTGGAAAATTGGGCAGGGAGGAACCTGATGAGGTTTAAGAAGAGCAAGCGTAGAGTCGTCGCACCTGGGGAGGAATAATTGCGTGCATCAGTGCAGGTTGGGGGATAAGCTGAAGGGAGGAGCTCTGCAGAGAAGGACCTGGTGGTTGTGATGAACCAAGAGGTTGGCCATGAACCAGGCAGAGTGCCCTTGTGGCTAAGAAGGCCAATGGCATCCTGGGGTGCATTAAAAAAATGGTTGAGGGAGGCGATCCCAGCCCTGTGCTCTGCCCTGGTGAGGCCACATTCAGAATCCCGTGTCCAGTTCTGGG